CCGCCCCCAGCCCTGCCTCTCGCTGGGCCTCTCCTTGGAGCCTGGCGTTGGCCGAGGACCAGCACGCGGGCCTCAGGCTCCCCCGGGCTTCATACCCCCATTCCAGGATAGACAGATATTCAGATGAAAAGCAGGTATGAGAACAAAAAACTTTAATACAATCAGCAGGCTCAGTTTATTATTATGTGTAAAGAGAGAGCGTTGCATCTATTTAAGCCCACAGAATATTTGCAAAATATCATTATGTGCCAGGCCACACACACACACACACACACGCAAATTGAATAAAGAGAAAAACTAGGACAGATGATTTGATCGTAATCCAAAGCAATTCTAAACAAACAGTAAAATGTTAAAAAACCAAGAGAACTTAAATAGTTAGAAAATAGCAAGTTATCTTTAAAAAAACCCTGAATCAAAGAAAAACTCAAATATGAAGTTTCAAAGTAAAGGGTGTCCCAGAATTCACGCAAGAAGTAATTTTGATAGAAACCACAGGTTTATAACTAAAAATTGTAAATTTTTATTGATTCATAAAGCATACAGTATAGGGTTAAGTATCGAATAGCATATGGGGTAAATGGATTATCATGTCGAGATAGCAAGCACCATTAACTTATTGCCTGAGCAGCCGAATTTTCGAAGAAGAATGGTTTGATGATGCCTCTAGCCCCAAATCCGCACCAAACAGTGACACGTTGTGGATGCATTTGTTTCTCAATCACTCGTGGATTTTCTGAACCCCAAATGCGACAATTTTGTTGATTAACCAAGCCATCCACAACGTGTCACTGTTTGGTGTGTGAATTTTGGGACACCCTTTATACATAAAACTGCAAAGGTGCATGCCTTCATACTCTGATCTATAGGACATAGCTAAAGCTGTGTTCAGAGGGAAACACTCTTCCTTGATTTCATTATTAATGAAGAAAAAATTTAAACATGTTACAAATCTTAGAAAAAAGGACAGTCAAGTGCACCGTTCTTTAGATCCAGAAAGCACGGGTCTATTCTGCCCAAGTTGGCACGCTCCCACCAGCTCCTAGAGGAGAAAGGGCAGGGAGGAGTGTCCAGTGGTCTGGTGGGAATTCCTGGCCTTTGTCAAGTGAGTGCTGAGCCCTGGGTGCCAGCCCAGGAGTGAGAACCAAGATGGATTGTGGTGACTGGCCAGCTGCACCTTGCTCCCCACCTCAGGGCAGCCTGGAAATGCAGGAAATTCACACTCCATGGGGAAGACCTTTTAAAAAAATTATTTATTGCCCTAACCAGTTTGGCTCAGTGGATAGAGTGTCGGACTGCGGACTGAAGGGTCCCAGGTTCGATTCCAGTCAGGGGCATATGCCTTGGTTGCGGGCACATCCCCAGAAGGGAGTGTGCAGGAGGCAGCTGATCGATGTTTCTCATCAATGCTTCTAACTCTCTATCTCTCTCCCTTCCTCTGTAAAAAATAAAATATATTTTTAAAAAAAGTTATTTATTTACTGATGAGAGAGAAACGTTGATTTACTGTTTCACTTATGTATGCATTCATTGGTGCATACATGGCTGCTTCTTGTATGTGCTCTGTCCGGAGAGTGAACCTTGGCATATTGGGACAATGCTCTAACCATCTGAGCTACCTGGCCAGGGCCAAGGGGAAGAGCTTTGACTGGATTAATTCTTCCCCTAAAAGGACGACACTGAGAAATGATGACTTTATTTGGCCTCTTGGAGGCTGATCCCTTGAGAAGGAGCAGCTGGCATGCTCAGTACCCAGTAGTGGCTTCCTCCTTCTCCCCCTCCTCTCCCCCCCCCCTCCCTCTCCCCCTCCCTGGGTCACACCTTAATCAAGCAGTGTTCAAACTTTCTGCCTCAGCTTTGCTCTCCTAGGAACCCAGGCTTAGTCAATTTACTTTTCAGTCTTTATTTAATTATAAGGACATTTAAAACTATGGTCATGAGTCCTAGCTGGTTTGGCTAAATGGACAGAGGGTCAGTCTGGGGACTAACGGGTGAGGGTTTGATTCCGGTCAAGGGCATGTACTTCAGTTGCAGGCTCCCGAGCCCTGGCCGGTGCAGGAGGCAACCAATCGATGCGTTTCTCTCACATTGCTGTTTCTCTCAGCCTTTCCCTCTCTCTAAAAATCAATGGAAAAATATCCTCGGGTGAGGATTAAAAAATAATAAAATCAATAAAAACATATTTTTAAAAAACCCAAACAATTAAAAAGAAATTGCCCTGACCGGTTTGGCTCAGTGGATAGAGCATCAGCCGGCGGACTGAAGGGTCCTGGGTTTGATTCCGGTCAAGGGCATGTGCCTTGGTTGCGGGCACATCCCCAGGAGGGGGTGTGCAAGAGGCAACTGATCGATGTTTCTCGCTCATCGATGTTTCTACCTCTATTCCTCTCACTTCCTCTCTGTAAAAAATCAATAAAATATATTAAAAAAAACTATGGTCATGGGTTTTCAGGAAATATGGTTTTAGTTATATCTGTAGTTTTCGATACACAACATTCTTATTATAAATTTTTAAAAATAGCTTGGCTATTAAGAATGAGAATATGAGCATCTTTGTGCAGGTGTTCGTGTAGACATTTCGTTTCTCTGGGGTAAATGCCAGGACTCTTGCTGGGTGGATGGTAACTGTATGTTTGTTTGTGTTTTAAGAAATTGCCAAACTTTTCAGAGTGGTTGAACCATTTTGACGTTATGCTGCTGAGAGTCATCCACAACAAACTGGAATCAAATGGGTGACCTCTTGGTTCATGGGTCGATGCTCAACCATTGAGCCACACAGGCCGGACCTATAGTACAGTTTTAAAATGGCCACTTAACAGTTTACATCCGCTCAGATTACATGCATTTGAAAGAGATTTCTGTGGCCCCCTCTGTAACCTTGAGATGTTATTTTGGAGGATGGTATGCATAGCACCTACCACCAGAGGGCGCTCTGTATACACTGCGCCACCTGGCCCCACCCCTCCTCTTCCCATTGAAGGTAGTTTGTCTAGTTTTAAGGTTTATCATCGGGGAAATATTTTGTAATATGTGGCAAGGAAGAGATATCATTTTTCTTTTGATTTACTTTGTTCTTTTCATAAAATTTAAAACAAATACATATGGTGTGTTATGACTTCTACCTTCAACATTATTACGGGAGGCCTCCTCCTCCTCCTCCGGTACCAAATACTTCTAAATAAAACACTTGATTTTTCCCACAACTGTTATTCTTGCTTTGATTATTAATAAATATTGGTTGTTGATGCTGACCTAATGATTCTTAATTTATAAATTGTTGAGACATGAGTCTAGAGTTATTCCTTCCTGCTTTAGGTGACTTAGCTGAAAACAGACTCATCTGGACAGAGCCAGTCTTCGAAGAGACAGCAGGCCTTGACCGAGGTCAGTGTCCTGTTGCCAGGACTCTTGTATGCACACCTTAGCTCTCAGGGAACACACTCCTGAGGGCTGTTCCCAGGCCTGAAAATTCTTTAATGCATTTCTTGATACTTGGAAAAACTAGATATGCCAAGTCCCTTTGGTGGGAACATACAAATGTATAATGCGATCGGTGCTCCTGGTCACCCTCGCTGTTGGGACCTTACATAGTTCCGTTAGAACATCTACGGCTGGCCTATGATGCAGAATAATGACAGTTTGAGCACTGTGTGATAATATTTGTCATTTTAACCATTTATAAGGGCACAATTCAATGGTGCTAAATACATTCACAACGCTGTGTATCCATCACCACTATCTAGATCTAAAATTTTTTCATCATCCCCAACGTAAACTCGGTAACCATTAAACAATAAGTCCTTCTCTCCTCCCAGTCCTTGGTAATCTCTAATCTACTTCCTGTCTCTATGAATTTGACTACTCTAAGTACCTCATCTAAGTGAAATCATACAGTGAAATCATTCTCCGTCTGGCTTATTGCACTTAGTAGGCTGTGTTCAAGGTGAATAGCTATAGCACGTGTCAGAATTTCCTTCCTTTTTATGGCTGCTTCAACTTATGTACAAGCCACAATGTGTTTATCCCCCCGTGGATGGACACTTGGGCTGTTTCTTCTTTTTGGCTATTGTGAATGAGCAGAGCTATGAACATGTGTGTACATAAACACATTTGAGTACTTGTCTTTAATTCTTTTAGATATATGCCTTAAATTGATGGGTCACATGGTAGTTTTATGTTTAGCTTTATGAAGACCTGCCAAGTTATTGTCCACAGTGGCTGAACCATTTTACATTCCCTCCAGCAATATGTGAGAGTTCAAGTTTTTCCACAGTCTTGCCAAAACTTTTTTTAAATAGATATTTTTATTTATTTCAGAGAGGAGGGGAGATAGATAGAAACATCACTGATGAGAGAGAATCACTGATTGACTGCCTCCTGCACACCCCCTACTGGGGATCGAGCCTGCAACCCCGGCATATGCCCTTGAACGGAATCGAACCCGGGACCCTTCAGTCCGCAGACTGACGCTCTATCCACTGAGCCAAACCAGCTAGGGCTTGCCAACACTTTTATTTACTATTTTTAATTTATAGCCATCTCAGTGGATGTTAAGTGGTACATCGTTGTGGTTTAGATTTGCATTTCCCCAATGACTAATGATGTTAAGCATCTTTTCATATGCTAACTAGTC